TAGCGGTCAACCACAGACACGGTGAATTGACTATTTACGGGCATGGGCAATGGAAGTTGAAAAGTCGACGGTTGAATTTAAATTTAAATTGAAGTTTGAAATTCAGCGTCTTGCGTTATGTTCATTGGTGCGTATATGATGAGCACATCTATTTCACTCGGGTATTGGGGCCTGCAGGGTTAGCAGAGAACGCATATACTTTTAGCGCTAGGTTCATATATTGCATAGATAGCATGTCAGATTATTTCGTATATTTATTATTATTATTATTTGATTTGCATGTCCTTATATTTATTGAATTTTCTTTTCCACGATGCGTTACGGTCTTTAGGTATCTCGTGTATAGAAGTAAAGCTTTAGTAGTTTTTGGCTTTAGTGCTTTAGTAAAGCTGTTTAGCAGAGGCTGAAATGTATAACAGCTCCATTATAACTTTTACGGTTTGTCGGCTCATTTATAGTTGAATTGGCAAAGAAAACATTACTAGCCATGTACATCAAAATTAATAACAATTTCAAACTTAGTAATTTGTTTATGCAAATAACATATATTAATAAATTTCCATATCATTCTTATTTAAATAAAATGTCTTTAAGATGCAATTTTGCGAATAGGTGTCTATGGTTTACAGTTTTTACAATTTTATGTGTAAAGATATGAATATTTATTTTTGCGGAGATTATTATTATATGCACACGTTTACGGTTAATAGTGAGTATCAACGCTCATTCATGGTATTATAAAGCAAGAAAGGTAAATAAGGAAATTAACTAGGAAAAATAAACAAATGACCGCTAAACATTGGGTTTGCACGGGTAAATGCGGTTTTTAATGGTTTTCGATGAATGTGTTCTGGCAATACAAAATGTGAAAGAATTTCCGGAAAGAGTTAGCACATACTAGTTGCAGGATAACCGTCTATTTACACCAAGGAAATTGAAGGCATATTCTTAGTATTTACAGCTTTCGAGAACGGTGAACAGAGGTTTATAGCCATCTGATTTTAATTTTGTTACATTGATGAGGTATTAGCACTGGCCTGAATGCGAGAATGTTCTGAAATCGTTAGAAGGGCTGAATGGACGAGTACTACACAATCGGGCGAGTTACTTCTTTACAAGCATTGCCTCTGTATTGGGAAGTCAACGGTCTTTTGATGTCTGCGACCAACCTGCCAACGGATAAATAAGATTGGAGTTAATGAAAATTCAAAAGTATTCTAAGCCGACAATTAAAAACAATTAAGCTCTCGTTATATCGGACGGAAAGAACGTGGTCAGCAAAACGCGTTTTCCTTTACCAACTCGTGGGTGAACGCCACGTGCTAGGAGGGTAAAGACGAACTCTGGACGAAAACACGCTGTATTATCCCTGAGCATATATATAAAGGAGAGCGAGAAAATCTTCAGGAAAGCGCAGCCAGTCCTTGGCGTATGTCGACGTCGGATTGCTTTGGACGGGCATTCCAAAACTTGGCGCGAGAGTAGTCAGGGAGCACATGAGGCAGCCTGATGTTGGTGGGCGTACTGCTGGGTAGCCTAGAACTTCAGCATCATCGGACGCAACGACGACAAAGTCACTAGTTAACGACGGTTGGGCCCAAACGAATACAGGAATTGAAAAGCGAGTTTTTTGAATGCCGAAAATAACCGATTCAACGAGTCGTAGATGTTTACATAGGTATTCGATACGGTGCGCCCGCAGATAAAAGTTTTTAGGGGAAACGCGCTGCTAATTGAACGCTTAATTACTTATTACAGTCAAAATTGCGGCGGGTAGCATGCATAGGAAAATTAATACGAACTGTTCGTAGGCGAAGTGGGCCAGCATCAGCTCATTGCACTTCCTCAGGAGTCTCAGCGCATGCCGGTAACGCCAACATCGAAAGAGCCGCTGGAAAAGTCCCTTGTGCTCGGTTGGGGGGTGTCGATCTGGTCGTACTGAAAACAGGTTGTAAACTCTGACCGATTACAGATAGATTCGCCGAGTTGTGAAAGAAGCGAGGAATTCCAAAAATGGTTTGCTAATAATTAAATTTAAATTAATTAAATTTCTAAACAGGTTTCTGAAGCAAAAGCTGTTATAGCCTTTTAGGGCGTTTGTAAATTAATAAGTAACGATTAAATAAATGTGTTCGATTTAATAATTCTATTGCAAAACACATGGTTAGCGCTCGGCCTAGCAAATTACACGACGACAATCTACGACGAATATTTATGTCAGGATAACGGAGATCCGATTCGCGCAAGTACTTACGAAAGTTCAGCTGAAGGCTCGTTTGTCCAGACAATTACGCCTCAGGACTGTGGTAAAGGCATCGGTGATGGTTGGTTGTCCACTGTGCTGACCGACACGAGATGAATCTGTGCTACCAATGCGATGCATGACGATTTGATGAGCGCCGCGAGCGGGTCTCTATAGGTGACTGGACGAAGAATCGCGTCCTCCGGCTCGGGTGTTATCCAAGCCTCGCGCGCGATTGGGATGCTGCGTTCGGGGGCTGTGCCCAAGTAGAAAGACGCCACATTTCTTGAACCTACCTCTTCCTTGCCCAGGTGTAAACATTTTATTTCTGTGTCTATCGTTGGATTTAAAATGGTTCGGCGGAGCCGTGTAAAAAACACGTTGCGTTTGTATGATTGTTAATATACCGACAATTAATGGATATTGTGTACTATATGCAAGACCCCCCCGCTTTGCCATCCGTGTGAACCCGGTTG